CATAGCTTTCCTTTCTCCAGAGATGGAGCAGAAAAAGGTTGAGGTGACCCAAAGGTTACAAATAACTTTTGCTTTCTGATTTGCCTACCACAAGACTAATTTTTTTACCCCCTCATTTCTATTAAGATTGATGTATTTACACTTGGAAAGGTGAATCCAGTTACTTACCTCATTTTATCACTGCCTGTGTGCTAGTCTTGTGGAACCATGAATTTATCATTCATCCCTCCTCACACTCCATTCTGCTTACATGCTCTGTTCTTGACAATGTTATTCAGGAGTGGAGAATGCTGGAGTTATTAGGTATCAATTCTGTGTGCTTCTACTGTGGGTTTGTTTTTTTTTTTAAATTTTGGGTGGTCTGAACAGTTTACATTTGAAGCTGTGACTACAAGAGTCTATGATGAGTCTTTTTTTCACGAGTCTAATAATTTAAGCAGTGGTTTTCCAGAGTGAAAGAGCGGGAGATGGTATATGTGTATGTGAATTACATTTATCGTAGATGCTCATTCATCACTGAAAGGGAAGCATAAAAAGAGTAAGGAGACATAGAACCACTTTTCAAGCCATTTTAGGTTACAGTTAAAGATACAAACCTACCAATATGGTAATTATAATAGTACTCATTTGTTGATGCTTCTGTTTGCCAGATAACTATGTTAAATGTTTTACTTAAAATAGCAATTAAAACATTACAAGTCATGAAATGAGAACGGAACAAATTGGGTTGTCTCTGGCAGAAAAAACCCACCCCCACCCTAACAGTAAAGAAGAGATTAGTGGTGCTAGAGGCCAATGAAGGGTGACCTGGTTGCTTGGTTTGTATTGATTTTGATCTTTAGAAACAATGTTATTCTCTTTGATGGAGAATGCAACCACTATTAGACATCTGGGGAGTTAGGAAGTTCTGGTTTACACATTTTATTGTATTTTTTTTGTGGGGTATTTCTAGACACAGTATTGTAATAATAATAATAATAATAATAACAACAACAACAATGACAACTAGTTTTCTCTTTGAGATATAAATAGGAGGCCTCTTCGATTTTATTAGGCTCTGGCCTTAGAGCCATTTACACTTAGCATAGAATTAGTAATAGTCGAGAGTCCTCTTTCTTTACGGCTGTCTTTTACAGAGGCTGGTTTATCCATAGTTGTAAACAACATGAAGGCTGGTGCTTCCCTGGATGACTTGGGCTGTATCACTTTAGCTCTGGAAGGTAGTTAGTCAGATTCCCTCATTTTACAGATGAAGAAACTAGCTAAGAGGTTTAATGCTCATGCCCAAGATCACACACATTTGTTTATACACAATTTTTTGCAGGCCCAAAAGATAAATTTGAGACTTTTGCTTTTTAATTCGTTGCTTCCTCCCACATTTCTCCTGTTGACCTCCCTTCTCCACTTTTAGTTGTTCTGAGATAGAGACCTGGCAACATAATAATGACTAACTTCAATGATGCTGTCTATGTAGAGGCTTCTATGCATATAATGATCTTAATGATATGATGCCACACTTGTGTTTCTTTGCTCTAAACCCCTAGATTAAGGGTCACTTACTATTAAGTGATTTATCATCTCTGTTTGGCTAACCAGCTGTCATCTTTAAGAAAAGGTTCTAGTCAGCTTACTTTTCAGAAAGTGCAAAGCAGGTCTGCCAGAGTGTAGGGGTAAGAGACACACAGGAACTGAAATGAAATTTCATGGCATAATCCAGGTTTTATTTTGGTGTTCATTTTTACTACAATTTAAAGCAAACAATTGTGCTTTTAATGAAGAGTGATATTGAAAATGGGCTTGTTTAAATGGGTGCTACCCTTTATGTCGACGTTTCTCAGTAAGATGTACTTGAAAGAAGTGGAAGGACTAACAAGCAGAGAGAGAAGAGAGAAAAGAAAAATCTTGAATAATCCATAAATGTAATGATCAATCTCTGAATATACCAAGAATGAACTATACTTAGCCTTATGGCATTTTAAATGTGCTAATTATAATATTTTAAATAAGATAATAATTCTATTTTGTCTCATCTTCAAATTAGCATGTATATTATTTAATGCTGTTTATTTTGGAACTGCATTCTATATTTTGCAAAGGAATAATTTTACATTTGTTTTCCATTTTAAATCTTCTGATTTCTGCCAGCAGTGTTACTTTAATGCTTCCAGTGTTTAATGGGAGTCTATTTAATGACTATGTCAATGAGAAAGTTGACATCTTGAGTCTGACTGATAGCTGTTGGTTTTGTGTAAGGAGTAGTAAAGATAGAATTACAGCGGTTTTAAGTAGTCTGGGGCTGGTACAATATCCAAGAACTCTGGTGGCCTAGTGTTAAGGAGTTGCGCTGCCGACCCAAGGGCATAGGGTTCAAATCCCCCAGCTGCTCCAAGGCAGAAAAGTGGGCTCTCTCTTCCTGTGCAGTTTACAGCCTCTGGGAACTCACTGGAGGGGCAGCTCTGTGTTATTTCTGACTCAACAGCACATGACAACCATGACAATGTTCGAGGAGCCCTGGTGATGCAATATGGTAAAAGGTTAATGGTTCAAACTCACCAGGTGCTCCATGGGACAGAGATGAGGCAATCTGCTTGTGTGGAAACACAGCCTTGGAAACACTGTGTAATGTAAGCTGGAATTGTCTGATGACGGGTTTGGTTTCTTTGAGGTACAATATCTTAATCAATATTGTGCCTCTCACAGTGTTTGTCGTTAACCTAGAGCAGAGGTTCTCAACGAGGGGAGGTTTTGCTCCTTTGGGAAGATTTGCTAACGTCTACAAATATGGTCACTGTTATTAGGACAGTGCTAGTGGGATCTATGAGTAGAAGCCAGTGATGCAATTCAACGTGCAGTAGTGTCCAGGGCAAGCTCTCACAAAGGATTACCTGGCTCGAAATGCCGGTAGTACCAAGATTGAGAAACTATCGCTCATGACGGGCACAGCGTTCACTGAATTAAAAAACTCACCTGTTCATTACTTGAGCATCAGCATTTATATTTTATTTTATAAATGTGTTCACATACCAGTTTATTTGTAAGACAGAGATTGCAACTTCACTTTGTTGTTGTTAGGTGCTGTTCAGTCGCCTGTGACTCATAGCGACCCTAAACCCTGCTCTGTCCTGTGCCAATCTCATGATCTCTGATACACCTACCCCCATTACCCAGTCACTGAATCAGTCCATCTCATTGAGGAGCTTTCTCTCTTGCTCTGTCCCTCCACCCTCCCAAGCATAACATCCCTCTCCAAGGTCTGGTCCTACCTTACAACATGCCCAAAGTATGTCAGTCGAAGCTTTAGAATCCTTGCCTCCAAGGAGCAGTCTGGTCTCACCCTCTTTAGGATGAACCTGTTTGTTCTCCTAGCAGTCCATGGTATATTCAACACTCTTCTCCAGCACCACAGCTCAAGGGCATCGATTCTCTTTCTATCATCCCTAGTCGTTGTCCAGCTTTCTGATTCAGTTTAGTGTACAAAAAGTAGTAAAACAATGTTTTGGCAATAACAATGAATTTTTGGTTAGTGGTGCTCAGTTAAGAGAGTGAGATATGAAATGATGATGAGTGGGAAGATTCAGTGGGCTCACTTGGTCCTCTTTCCCTCCGTGGCTTTCAGTTTTGAAGTTCCCTGCAATGTTGTGTGATATTCCCGAATATTGCTGTCTGGACTCAACATAATCAATTATCTGGAAAAAGAAATTATCTACATGGCTAAATAAATTCTTAGTCTAGATAAACTCTAGTTTCTTAAGTCCTACATAATCTTTGGTATTAATTTTAAGATACTAAATAGAGTCTACTGGTAGGTCTTCAGTTTCTTGCAACAAAGCAAGGATTGTTCTCTTAATTCAACTGACAGAAGTGAATTTGTAATAGATATTTTGTTATATGTGCATCTTTTCGAATCCTCCTCTAAAATTACTGCTTTGAATTTCTATCAACCTGGTTTATTTTGGGCAAAATGGCATATTTTAAAGAGACATTAGATCTTTAGCAACTTTTTGGAGTAAGAGGTGGTTGGGCATAGGAAGTTACTTATATGAATAAAAGATACTAGAAAATACTTCATTGCTTTATGGTTGCATAAGAGCTATGAGGCAGCGTTTTGCCCTTTCCTCTTGAATAGTCATAAAAGCCTCCATTTGCTAGAGCGGCATTAGTGGATGCGTTTTCCTACCTGATGCTTCCATTTCAGTGTGGTGTTGGTGAGAAGAAAAACTGGCTAAGATCATTCAGTGGCTGTTTTTCTCAAGTAGGACTCCACTTGATGACAGTGGGCTTGGTCTTTGGTGTTTGAAGTATGGGGAATCCTAGTAGAAGGATGGTTAAGTGCTCAGCCGCCATGTGAGAGATGGTAGTAGAAACTCACCAGCTGCTCTTTTGGAGGAAGATGTGTGATTCTGTATCCATAAAGATTACAGACAACAAAATCCTATGAGAGATCTGCTCAGTCCTATAGGGTTGCTATGAGTTGAACCACCTTGGGGTAACTAGCTGTTATCTTAAATACGCTGGAGAAACACAAAAGGATACACTGAGAAGAAGGAGGTAGAAGGGCCAGAAAGGCGGGACAGGGCTTTCAAGCTGGGGCAGAGTTACAAGAAATGAGACCCTCCAGAGAGAGGGCTCAGAACGAGAGCAGCAGCAGCAGGAGGTGGCCTGCTATGTTCAGGAATGAAGAATCAGGGAGATGATGTGGAAGAGCTCCTGGGTTTGGGAACAGTCCAAGTTCATCTATTAAATGGCAGAGCCGATTCCTCACACTTGATTCTCTGAGACCCTGTGACACATTCTGACTTGTGCAAAAGAGATAAGGGGAAAATGTCCTATCAGTAGAACCATCTCTATAACAAATACCGAAATTGATTGTCTTATTGGGCAAAAATCTTGAGTAAAAATATTGTCTGGCTGGTGTCAGCTCTTCTGCCACTGGATTTGGATACTGAGAATGGGATTTAGCTTCCATGGGGATTTTTTCTTTTTCCTTTGGTGTTTTTCAGAACTCATCCTCAGCCTTTGATCACTGTGCTTGAACACAGGCCTGACTGTTGGCCAGTCCTTCTGCAGCAACTGACAGCTTTTTTCCAGCAGTGCCCTGAAAGGTAATGTCAAAGAAAATCTGTGAGTGCAGGTGGGGACTTGTTAAATTGAGCATTGCTTTCAGCTCCTTTGTTGTACCCTTTCCTCACATGCTATCTCATTACCTGATAGTTTGCATATATGGCACTAACAAAAAAGTATCACCTGCTTTTTAAAAAAATTTTTATTAGTGACATAAATCTAGCAATAGCAAATGTCACGCTTTTCAAAAGAGATGAGGCAAGACTAATGCTGGCTGTGATGTATCTTAAGATTATGTAGGTGACTATTGGACAGGGCCATGGTTTCCTATTACTTGGTCATTGCATCTAGAATGTAATTTGTCAGTTCTGTAATGATATGATTTGGCAGTTTTATAATGATATAATTTAGCTGTTATGTAATGATGCAGGTTGACACTTAACATAATGAGAGAAGATTGAAGTTGCCAAGGATCTCCCTTTCCTTGGCTCAACATCCGTGGGTTTGAGTCAGGAAATCACGTTCTGTGTTGCGTTGAACCAGAGTGCTGGGAAGGACTTCTTCAGAGTGCTGCAGAACCAGGAGATCACTGGGAGGGTGAAGCTGAGTCTTACATAAGCTGTGAGATTTGATTGTCTCATACGCATGTGAAAGTTGGACAGTGAATGGATAGGGAAGACCAAAGAAGACTCTTTGCCATTGAATTCATGTGTAGGTGAAGAATATTACACACATCACGGACTTTCAAAGAAACAAGTAGGTCTCGAAGACTTGCAGCCAGAATGATTCTTTGACGCAAGGAAGGTGACACGTCATCTCCCATCGTTTGCACTTTTTTCCAGGAAGGGCCAGCTCGTGGAGCAAGTCATCATGCATGGTAAAGTAGAGGGTCAGAGAAAAAAGAGGAAGACCCTCAGTGAGATGGAGTAACAGAGTGGCTGCAACAGTGGGCGCACAAACAGGGGCCCTTGTGGGAATGGCCCAGGATCGGGCAGTTTTATTCCGTTACACACGAGGTTGCTATGATTTGAAGCCAATTCCAGGACAGTGAACCACAGCATAATGTTGCAGCTGGGCAGTTATGTAATGATATTACTTGATAGCTGCACAGTGTTACAGTCATCTTTCATTTTGTTGTTCTGATACAGTTATCCTCTATTTTTGCATAATGACAGTTTATACATAATTGCCTGGTTTTTGGAACATAACTGTGTTGATGAGTGACGAGAAGGTATACAAGAGAAGCCCCTCACTCCTCCAGCTCCCCCCCCCCACTCGTGTGTGGTGCTCACATGTTAATCTCTCTTTGAAATGTTTTGTTGGGGAAAACATGATTTAGTTTCCGAAAAGTTTGAAAATCCTTGGACTACAGGATAAAAATCTAATCTGTCTAGGATTTGAGTTCTATCTACTTCCCCTGTTTTATCTCTCCTTATCTTTATTTTACAGTTTATGCTCCAGCAGTGCACGGCCCTGCATTTGATTCCACACTGAAAGGAGTGCCATTCTCTTGCCTTTGTGATTTTGTTTATCTCAACCTGCCCTGTTCTCTAGAATCTTCCTTCCTAACTGCGTTCTCTCTTGTAAACTCTCTGCCTTGTGAAATCTTTGATCATGACAGACAAGCTGAATTAGAGATCTCCTCTATGCGCTCCCCTGCTAACTTGCAGTTGTGGCTTTTAAAACCATTACAATTATTACAGTGTTTCTAATTATTCCCCTTTTAACTTCTTGAGGTCATGGACTATGTGACATTATTCTTTGTGTCACTAGTAGTTATTGTTGATTGCCTTTGAGTTGAGCACGACTCATAGCAACCTTATGAACAAAAGGCCTGACGCCCCTCTACAACTATGAACATTTATCAAAACACATAGAGTTTCTAGAGGGAAGTTGTTTAGGAAGTGGATGCCACTAGTAGCTGGCACATTTCACAGTGTTCCATTATGCTGAGTTTATGCACATGAGGTACATAGATTGGCAGAACCTGGACACGGGGTTTCAGAGAGCCTCATAATACCTCACTTGTCTACATTCCACACCATACAGAGTCGTGAAAAGCTGCCACTTTTCCCAAGTAACTAGTTGCACCATAACAACTATGTTCGTGTTTCATACCCTTGAAGGTTTTATTATGCCCATAGATTGAGTTTCTTAGGATTCTGTTTGTGAAGCTGTAGCTTTAATTTTAGATGTAATTTCCAGGCATTGGGTGCTCCTACACAGTTTTCAAGAGATATATTTACTGCCAAACTCATTGGCATAGAATTGATTGTGGCTGTTGGCAGCCCTGTAGGACAGAATAGAACTGCCCTATAGGTTTTCATAAGAACTCCGGTTGGCCTGTTGGTAAGAAGCTGTGCTATAATCCCAGAGGCACACAGTTTGAATCTACCAGCTGCTTCACAGGACTAGCATAGTCAATTTCCTGTAGATTAATTGCCTCAGAAAACCTGTTGGAGGGTCAGCTATGGGCTACTTCCTACTTAATGGCAAATGGCAAAAACCAACAACATAGGTTTCATGATTGTGCATATTTATGAAAGGAGGCTGTCATCTTCATTTTTCTCTGAGAGTGGAGAAGAAACCACTGACCTGCTTAGCTGGCAGATGCTTTAACCACAGCACAAATTGCGGTTAAAGTCCCTTTGAAAAATATAGGTCACCTTGTATTCAGTGGTCAGACTTTGGTCCAGGAGTTATTAGAATATATTGAAATCAATATTTATAGAAAGGGAAGATGTGAAGAAGGAGTTCTGACAAGTTATATCATCCTCTTTTTGCCTCAAATTCACATCTTCATAAAGGAGATAATATCCTTTTCTACATCTCAGTTACTGTGCAGATCACAACAGATTGTGGCTATTCTTGAGGAGAATGGGACACTAAGAACACTTAATTGTGCTCATGCTAAACCTATGCTTGGACCAGGAAAGCAGTAGTCAGAACAGAGCTGGGAAACACTGCATGGTTCAGGATCAGGAAAGGTGTTCATCAAACATCCTATCTACATACTTTTTCAACTCGACACCAGCAGCCAGGAAAGTAGAAGACGTATTGCCATGGAAAAGTCTGCTGTTAGGGACCTCTCCAGGGTATTGAAGAGCAGTGGTGTCTCTTTGGAGACTAAGGTGCATCTGATACAGGCCATGGTCTTTGCTATCACTTGTTATGCATCAGAGAGTTGGACAATGACTAAGGAGGATAGAAGGAGAATTGATGCCTTTGAGCTTTGGTGCTGGAGAAGAGTATTGAGGGTACCATGGACTGCTAAGAGAACAAACAGATTCATCCTGGAGAGGGTTAAACGGGGCTGCTCCTTGGAGGCAAGGATTCTGAGGCTTCGCCTGACATACTTTGGACATGTTGCAAGGAGGGACAGGTCGTTGGAGAAGGACATCGTGCTTGGTAGGGTAGAGGGACAGCGCAGAAGGGGAAGGCCCCCTATGAGGTGGATTGATTCAGTGGTTGGGTTAATTGGGATGGGTGTATCAGAGACAGTGTGATTGGCACAGAACAGAGCAGAGTTTAGGGCTGTTGTACATAGGGTCACTATGAGTTGCAAGCGACTCGACAGCACATAACAACAACATGCAGGACAAATTATTTGGGAGGCTGGACTTTATGAAGAGAAATGTGGCATCAGGACTGGAGGAAGATTCATCAGCAACCTGCATTATGACACAACGTTGCTTGCTGAAACTGAGGAGGACATGGGACATGAGGTGTATGCTGCAGGAGGTCAAGGAGTATAGTCTTCAATATGAATTGAAGCTCAACATCAAGAAAACAGAGATTCTCACCACTGGGCCTATTGGATTCATGATAGATGGAGAAAAGATTGAGATTTCTAACAACTTCAGCTTGCTTGTTTCCACAATCAATACTTTTGGCACCAGCAGTTAAAAAAATCAAAAAACAAGTTGAATTGGGAAAGTCTGCTGACAGGCACCTCTCTAGAGTACTGAGGAACAATGATGTCAGTCTGGAGACTAAGGTGCATCTGATCCAGGCTGTGTTCTTCACAGTTAACTTGCTGTGCATCAGAAAGCTGGACAATGACTAAGGGTAATAGAATAAGAATTGATGCCTTTGAGTTGTGGTGTCAGAGAAGAGTATTGAACACACCGTGGACTGCCAGGAGAGCAAACAGGTCAGTGCTAGAGAGGATGAAACCAAGATGCTCCCTGGAGGCAAAGATTTTGAAGTACCGTCTCACATACTTTGAGTATGTGGCCAGGAGGGACCAGTTCTTGGATAAGAACAGCATGCTTGGTAGAGTGGAGGGACAACATAGGAGAGGAAGACCCAGGATGAGATGGATAACTCAGTGACTAGAAAAATGGGATTATGTCTGTCGGAGATGATGAAATTGGACAGGTTTCAGAGCTATTGTACATAGGGTTGCAATAAGTTGCAGGCCACTTGAAGGCACTTAAGAACAACAACTAAAACAACGTGTCTCATTATTGTGATACAAAGCTGTAGTGGCACAATGGTTAAAACACTTAGTTATTAACCAAAGTTTGCTAATTTGAACTCACCGGGCACTCCATGAGAGAAAAGCACTAGCTAGCAATCTGCTTCTTTGAAGATTACAGCGTATATGGGAAACAGTGTGATGGTGCTTCAAAAAACTCAGAATTGAACTGTCATACAACTCAGCAAATATTACTTCTAGGTGTGTTCTCCAAAGCTTGAAAACTCGAGACTCAAGAAGAGACTTGAATCTCACTGTTCAGCCAGAAGGCTGAAACAACCTAAAAGCCCATCAGCACAGTGAATGGATTAACAGAACGTGTCATTTTCAGTGGAATACCACTGAACCAGCAAGAGCACTGAAATCTGGATTCCACTCACTGCCGTCGAGTTGAATCTAACGCAGACTGCCTCCACTGGCTTTCTGAAGCTGTGTTTTCAGGAGACTACTTCTCTTTCTCCCAAGAAGCCACTGGGTATTTAAACCACTTTGGTTTAAATACATGGCCTTTGGGTTAACAGTGAAACATGCTACGTACAGACTGTGTCTCCAGAGTCCTTGAAGTCTGGATTCATGCTGCAGTATGGAAGCAGCTGAAAGACACTGTGCTGAGTGAAATGAATTAATCACAAAAGGACAAATATTGAATGACCTCCCTTTGTAAGTTTATAGAGGTCGCTGTGTGAAGATGACACCAGATAGGGCAAAGTTCAGATCTGTTGTCCATAGTGCCTACCAACAACAGTAACAACATAGAGATCAAAAGACATTTTGTATTTAGTAGAGATGGGATTGTGAGTGAAAAGACGCTTTAACATCAGTGGCAATAACACAAATGATTAAGGGTCGATTTGCCCAGCCAATTATCTTATTCATTGTCATTAAACTTGTACACCTTTAAAAGACTGAGGCGACACAAGCTCTGTGTGATATATTGCCAACATAGGAATGTTGTAAATTTATAACAACATTTATAAATATTGTTGTAAATATTTATAGATGTTTACGTAGGAGAGCCTTTGCCACGGAGGCTACTTAAATGTACCCACAATCTCTATGGGAAAAGCTTGCTTGGTTTGCAGGTTTGAAGTCATAGTTTCATGGGACATCTCAGTTAACTGGCCTAGTAAAGTGTTTAGAGCTTCTTTTCTACCTCACGGTTTGATGTGGAGTCTCAGGAATCCTAAACTTTTACAAGCAGCCATCTAAGGCACATCAAGAAGTCATTATTGGTGAGTTCTGGTGGCTTAGTGGCAAGAAGCGGTAATGCAATCCCAGAGGTGAGCAGTTCGAATCCACCATATGCTCTGTTGGAGAAGGAGGAACAATATCCTTCTGTACCAGTCAGACTTGATTTGACGGTACACACACATCATCATCATCATGGAAAAAAAAATTCATATTGACCTAGAACTATAGAGGAAGAAGAAAGTCAGGAATAGAGGGAACGTAAAGAATGTGTGGCTCATTGCCTCCATTAAACTGCTGCCTCCGTGGACTAGATGATAGTTGGTTACTGTTACAGAACATTTTGAGTAGTGATTCCATGTAAGAATCATGATCAAAAAGGGGGAAATTTAGAATAGAATTTAAAATTTTCATGATTTCCAGACTTCCTGGAGCCATGAATGTTGGTTGGATCCCTGAAATAATGCCCTGAGATAAAAGTTAAACCTTAAACATAAAAGATCCTTTAAAGTTTTAGAAACATTTGAAAACAAACCCAACTGCTGTCATGTTAATTCTAACTCATAGTAATCCTATAGTTGTTGTTTAGCTTGATTAGTAAAAAAACACTTCACTGCCTTGAATATTGTTCTTTTAACAATAATGGATATGAGACGGACTTGACAACTGCAGTTTGAAAGGTTAGATATGAAGCTTGAAAATGAAACGAAGGCGAAGCTATTGCCACTGAGTTGCTCCTGACCCAGAGACCCTATAGCTCAAAGTAGAAATACCTCAAGTATTTTCTAAGAAAGGCACTTAGGAAGCAGACTGCCACATCTTTCACCCATGGGGCAAACTGTGATTTGAACAGTGACTTTTCAATTAGAAGCTTGGCTATACGTATCAGAGATCCTAAATAGGACTGTAGGTGGCAGTGAATTTATATTAGTGGGGGAGGAAAAGGAGAATGACAGTTATTACACATCTAAAAAGAATGTCATCAATGATATTAAATGGTACCTGCACAAATATGTTGAATTTAAGTATATTTTCTATGTATATTCTCTGTGTTTTTTGCTGTGTATTTTCTCAATAATAAAGTAATACATAAAATTGTATACAGCATATAAACTCCTGTGGGACAGTTGTACTCTGGGGATCATGTAAATCTAGAGATGTGAAGTGCAGTAACTTGTACACATAAGGATTAACAGGATACCAAATAAATGTTAATTAACGTAACAATCTTTCTGGCATGTTACATAGAACCTCACTTGTGGCATTTTCTAAAAATGCATGCCTGTGCCATACTACTTCGGAGTGAATGCAAATCTCTGCAGTTCTACAAAAAACTCTCAGATGAGTTAGATGTTTATGAAAGACTGGTCCTGGTGATGTCGATGCTATCTTAATCTTCAGAGACTGTTTGAGTTCTTGGCATTAAGATTAAGGTCTCCAGATTCTGAGGCGTTTTCCCTGATTAACCAGAAACGGGTTGATAAAGTTTTAAGTTAGTCATTTTGGACTAGAAGATTCCAGGGAAAAAAGTTAAGGAATAATATGATAGTTTATAGGAAGCTTTAGTGGTTTAGTGGTAAGGAATTGTGCTGCCAGTGCAAAGGTACCTGGTTCGAATCCAGTGGCTGCTCCATGGGAGAAAGATGGGCAATCTCTCATGATTAACTACCTCTGAAAACCCACTGGAGGATTAGCTATGGGTTGATACTAACTCGGTGGCACACAACAACAATAAGGTTATTTATAATGTACTATGAACTATAAGTTGATATTTGCTCTTTCCTGCTTGATGCTGTATTTAATGATTGCCTAATCTCAGTATGTGAATTACAGGTCAGAGATTCCATGTATCCAAATAATGGCTCCATTTCTGTGGTATCTGTATTGTGAACCATCTCAAATGCAAGAATATGATAAACTTAGACTAGCCCTACTAAAAGTCTTACTTCAGCGCCAAACTCTTCATGACAAAGAACACCCAGCGGTTTTGGAACAGCACATACTTCAGCTATGTTGTGACATGATCCCATGTTTGCAGGTAAGCCCTTTTGTCCTCCTCTGTCAGGACATTAATATCTACGTCAGTGCTGATTGTCACAGTCATACATTGGTGGTTGAGAATAGAAATAAACTGGCCAACTCAGAGACACAGTGAGTTTTCGAAATGCATACAGTATTTTGGAGGAGATATAAGAGATAACATTAATACACAGAATATTAACTACATTAGTAGACACATAGGTCAATGTAATTTATCTTGGGATTAGTAGAAATGAAAACTTTCCTTTATTAAGAAGGACTTTTCAGGTAGAAGAATTTTACAGTAAGTCTCTCTGTCTCTGTGCTGGGAGCTCTGGTCGCCTAGTGAACAGAGTTGCACCGCGATCACAAAGGCAGGTGATTTGAATCCAGCGCCTTCTCCTTGGGGGAAAGGTGAGTGCTCTCCTCTGTGCAGTTTTCAGCTTTTGAAAGCCTCAAGGATGGTCAGCTGTAAATTGATTTCTACTTAACAGTAATGAATTGGGGTTTTTTGAGGATTCTTGTGGTTAGATGCTGTTGGGTCGAGTATGACCCATAATGACCCAATGGTCAACAGATCTGAACCCTGTCCTATCCTGTGTCATCCTCCCAATCTCTGACCCACTCGAGCCTACTGCTCTAGTCACTGTGTCAGTCTACCTGGCTGACAGTCTTCCTCTCTTTTCTCTGTCCCTTCCCCTTTCTAAGTATGATGCCTTTCTCCAAGATTAGGTGGGGTGTTTTTTTTTTTTTTTGGTTTGTTTGTTAATATCCCTGTGAGAAATACTGTACAAGTTACAAAGAGAATTCAAACCTCTTTGTTCAGATTAGAAAAATATGTGCATTTTGTGTGTTCAGATCATAGCCAGTTCAGTGCTGACTAGATTCTTGCTGGCTCATGTGCCCTTACAATGCATACTCTGGCCCTGATAGGTCCTACTCTCGAGGTGCCCACAGTCTAGTTGGCGAGTTAAAACACACATGTTATTCTTCTAATTCAAAGTACATGGGTGGAAGTTGTTTACCTGAGTTACAGATCAAACATTGAGGAGTTAAGGAGAGAGAGAGAGCTGAGAAAATGACGCCGGTGTCTCTAACTGCAGATGGAAGAAAGAAGATTCCAAATGCTTGTCTGTTTGGATTGTAAAGGTCTGATTTATCCAGCCATCCCATCTCCTGATGGAGGTTTGCTGTTGTCTTGGAACCCGAGCACCATGCTGCTTAGCTGCTGGAGGGAGTCTGCATATTTTTCGAAGTGATCACTTGAGGTCACAGATGACCTGTTTTAAGTTTGCCTTACCAAGGAGTGACAAGCGTGAATCTTTTCCTTTGTGCCTCATAAATGGCCTTTTTCTGTAATCAAGCCAGAGAAAAGTTAATGAAAATGAATTCTCCTGTGTCTTTTTTTCTAAAGCTTTTGCTGTATGTGGGCAATAAAGCAATGTCTATGGGCAGAGCATCTTGAAATAGTGTGTTCTTTTACTGCCCTGGCGGCGTCACCCCGAGCTGTGTGCTCTTCAGTGGTAAATGCTTGTCTGTGTCTTTATAGGTCTACAGTGATAAGCCCAAGATGGGATAAATAATGTCTACTGCATTGAAACAGATGAGGGAGAGAACTGCATCAAAGGGATATATGATTAGATATTATTGATACGAGAGGAGTCCAGAACGAAGGTAGCATAGTGGAGTGGACTTGGGGAGAGGGATTGAATAACAATGAAAGAAATTTTTCTTTTACTTCTCAAAAAAACAAAGCCAAAGTCTCCATAAACTTTCATGAAAATGAAATTTTTAAAAAAGCTGAACATAAGAAAAAATGAGTTCTGTGGGATATGTCAGAGAATCTCTGGGTTGTTAATATAGTTATAATATTCAAATGTTTCATTTGCACCCGTTGAAGGTAGTGAAGGTATTTAACAAAATAACCTTATTGAAGCAAAGAAATCTGAGAGCTGGGAGAGAACTTAAGAGATAGTATTATTCGTTTCCCCACTTATTATAGATATTTCCCTTATTTTCTAATAATGGCCATCTTACAACTGATTGCATAGCTCAGTGCTAAGAAGCAGACTATTTTGCAGACCATGTCTATGAACTTCTGAAATCTTTGTGACCTGAGTTTTCTTAAGAAAGAATTGGCCACCGGCTCAGAGGCAGACGGTTCAAATTCACCAGCTGCGCTGTTGAAGAGGGACAGTCACCTTATGTGTGGTTTACAGCCTCTGAAAACCCGCTGGAGCGTCAGCGCGAAGTCAGTCCCGTCTGGAGGACACGTCACAACAGCATTATCCATTAGTTACCATTTGTTTTTTCAGAACAAAATAAAATAAATATTTTAAAAACCCGGCCTATAGTCCATCCTGCCTTGGGGTGTCCCCCCATTATCCCTTCCTGTGATGACACTGGATAGGACAGAGTTCTGATACGTTGTTTATGAAGTCACCACTTGTTGTAGTCAACTCAGTGGCACCTGACAACCACACCAGTAACCCCCTTCTTCCCCAGTGCATCAACTTCTTCACAGGAAATAGTTGTTAAACTTTTCACTGTCTGTGGGCAGGAATTGCCATGTTCCTTGGTGCTTAGATTATGCTGCTGTGAAGTGATCTACTTAGAGCTGAATGCAAGTCTATGTAGCTGTGAATTGACTTAGACTGTGTCTTGGAAGAGAATCACATTTATATTTTGGAAAAAAATTTTATAACCAACAGTCTCCCTCTGTTGGCCTAAATTGAGATTGTAATCAACAAAACTCCTTTTGTTATTCTTCTCAAATCAGTTAATCTTCATTTATGCTTTTTGAATTGTTTGAATTTGCTTACCTTAAACTTTACTTGGTTGACATTAGCCCCAATAAGTCTCTTTTTAATTGTAATCTTGTCCTCTCCTGTATTAGCTATCATTTATGATATATTTCTACATAGAAAGATAGAACATTGTTGCAAAAAGGACAGCGGGCAGGCGAGGAAGACCCTAGATGAGATGGATTGACACAGTAACTGGGGCAGTGGGGGAGAGTGTGTCAGAGAGTGAGACTGGCTCAGAATAGGGTGGATTTCAGGGGTATAATACATAGTGTTGCTACGATTTGCAAGCAGCTGGATGGGACATAACAACAACAGCTTTCACATACAGAAGTGTAATTCTTTCTTTAAAAAAAGAAATAAAGCTTTATTTAGGTATACTTTGTATAGCATAAATTCACTTTTTTAATTATAAAATTTTTATTTTATACTGGTTTACTTACAAAGTTTGTATGCTTGGTTTTTTTTTTAAGAAAAACCGATTTTTGTTTATTTGTATGGATAATTCTTTTTTTTCTATAATTTTAATGAGTATTTACAGAGATTTTGGATTTCCATTCATTCATTGCTGCACTTCTCTCCCCGCCCCTCCCCCCTCCCCCTCCCCCCCAGTTCTCTCCTCTCTTTTTTTTAAAGGTTAAGTGAGCTTGTCCATGTACAGCACTTTTTTAAAAAAATTTTATTATTTTCGTGTGAGTGTACTGTCAAATCAGATCTGACTGGTACAGGAGGAGATTGTCCCTCCTTCCCCGGCAGAGCATCTGGTGGATTTGAACCGTGCGCCTCTGGGATTGTAGTTGCAGCTCCTTGCCACTAGGCCACCAGAGCTCCCCCGCTCCTCTCTTTCAAAAGTAAAAGAAACACTCCTTCCCTAGTACACAATCCCCCCGCACCCCTCCCACCGCCCCAAGTACATTCCACTATGCAACCTTAATTGTGGACTCTTGTGATAACCATAAGACCCTATCATACATTGCTTTTAAATTATTCACTACCTCATCTGTTTCAGTGCAGTATACACAATTTATCCAGTTTTTCTCAGTCTTGGTTTTTCCACACCAGATCTTTCTCTTTTCCTTTACCTACCCCTCCCTCCACCCATCCTCACCCTTCTGCTCTCCCCGTAGCCTCTTGGATCCTCATACATGTTCTACAGTGTTTGGACTGGAGAGCATTATGCTAAGTGAACTAACTCAGTCTCACAAGGACAAATACTGCATAATTTCACCTATTTTTAAGTACATTCGTTAGTGGTAAGGAACTGCACTGTCAACCTGAAGGCATGCATTTCAAATCCACCAGTTGCTCTGTGGTAGAAATATGGGCATTCTTCTCCTGTGTGGTTTACTGCCTTTGAAAACTTGCTGGAGGATCAGCTAGGGGTGGAATCTGACTCGACATTTGTAACAATAAGAGTTTTAGGAAATTTCCATCCTTCCTTCCTTCCCACTCCCAGTCTTACTTCAGAACAGTCTGCATTAAAGATGCATAACTAAACTAGTTTTTTAATCACTGTCATAAACCAAGTTTTCGTGGGGAAAAAAAAAGATCAAAGAGGGGACTCAGTAGAGGACGGGTTGAGAGTGGAGGGGTAGATAAGGATGGGAAGGGGTGAAACCACGGGGTTGCGCAGTTTGGTGAGTAGTGAGAGTGGGTGAAGGAAATGGGGAGGATCCAGCGGAGACCTGAAAAGCCAGGGAAATGCCTGGCACAGTCCAGTGGTGACTGATTTTATAGCACATAATGCATGGGAATGAGTGTATGAAATGTAATATGAATGAAAAATAGTGTGAAACACAATGTATAGGACTGTGTGAGTAGACCAAGATAAACTTTTAAAAAATTATATAAATAGGAATTTATACTATTTAAAATGTCAAAAATTCTTTTATTATTATTATTTTTTTATTTTATTTTATTTTTTTGTGTGAGTGTACCGTCAAATCAGATCTGACTGGTACAGGAGGAGATTGTCCCTCCTTTTCCCGGCAGAGCATCTGGTGGATTCGAACCTTGCCACTAGGCCACCAGAGCTCCCCTAAAATGTCAAAAATTCTTATCTTCAAAAAAGGTTTTCATTAAAGGGGCATAGAGAGGTATTTATTGTAGTTTCTTCATGTGACTATTCCTGAACTTGATGGTTGAATGTTACCAAATATGCTTTACTATCTTTACCACTTAATCTTTGGTCAGTTAATTTATTCTTTAATCATTATTTTATTTTTTCTAACATGAAACTCTTGCCTCACTCCTTTTTTAAAAAAACAGAACTTGATATTGAGGAGAAAGCCCTAAATCAACCCAAATAATTAATCCCTAAATCAAGGAAATTTTATTACCAAATAAACAAGAGGCTTTGATCTGTTTCAAATCCTTTTTTCTTGGTGCCCTTTTGGATTTTCTCATTGCATGTTTGTACAACAGCAAAATAACTTGGTTGCTGGACTGTTCACACTCATTTTTGGAACATACTATTTTCTGTCAATTGTTCCTCTTTGATCTTTTAATATGTTTTTTTCTTCTTGTTCACTAGGAACTGGTTGCTTTGGATTTTTTTCCCCCCTCAGAGTGTAACTTATGCTCCTTTTGGGTCATGGTGGTAACCACTGGTGAATGGTATAGCTAGAAAACCATGGGCTTCCCTTTGATAAATTTAACAGCCACAAGCCTCCTCATTGAAGCAGATGGTTCATTGTTTGTAATCTCTGGAAAATGCCAGTGTGACTGTGAGCAGGACCATAACCTTAGTACTAACTCCAGAATTTTGGTCAGAACAGCTGGTTTTGAATAAATTGAGATTTTCAGGAGCGCCTGAGTCCATCCTATCTATTGCATTAGCCTGTTGAGAAGACACTGTACATTGTGAAAATAGTCTTTCATTACCTCTTTCAACGTGTGGAAATGATACTCTCACTTACGGTTCTGAACAAATATCCTGCCAGTGATGGGATTGGTAGTGCATTAGAATAAAGTTCTGACCCTTTACTACCAGGAATCTATGTTGGAATTATAAAAAAGAAGACTCATTTGAAGAGGTCGAAAAACTAGCTTTAATGAATTTCCTTCAGCGTTTTGGCACTGCCATGTAGCTTGTTTTAAAACATCTACACTCAGAGAAACTAGGAAAATAAATGAAAAGAAGTTGAGCCAACTAGCAAAAATAATAATAGTTGCAATTTATATTCTGGTTAGTGACAAGAAGAGGAAGCAGAGTGGTGTGGTTTAGCCCTCACTGAATTACGTAACTTTATCATCACTTTTAAGTCTTTATAAGTTTTAGAGAAAACTGTTTTATATTCAAAAGCTGTTTCTGTAGTCTAAGATTGTCTTCTGGTTTGTATGCTATTATAACCATCCTTTTTTAAAACAGACTAAAGATTTGGTACAGACAACAGAAGTGATGCTGTTTATTGAGGAAGTATATTTAAGCCTGTTGCGTCATCCTGTCTTCTGGAAAACTCAGCTTATTCAGATGACCCTTCAACTGCTTTGTGTCTGTGAAGTCAGCTTGAAGACAACTGGAGAATGCTCGTCTTCAATTCACCTTTTAGAGCGTGGTGTTGAACTTCTGAAGGAGGTAAAGTTAATATAAATAGGAAAACGTTTTAATGTTAGTTACCACTTAAATGGACTGTGCTCAGTTTATTGTGTACCAGAGTTGATCTAATGTTATTACTAATGTGTGACTAATGTTATTTACTATAGAAACGAATCATTAATTATACCCTGACATCTGTTAGATGCCTATCACTAGTATTCCCCCCCCCACCCACCCACGCATTCATGGAGACTATCGACACTGAAAATTTAGCTCTGCTAGCCTAGTGGCAAGAAGCTACGCTGCAGTCCCCAAGGCACGTAGTTCGAGTCCAGAAGTTGCTCCATGGGAGAAGGATGGGCTGTCTCCTCCTGTAGGATTGACCTTTTCTGAAAATGCACCAGAGGTTTGGTTGCAACTAGATGATGCAACACACACACACACACACACACACACACCCCTTCATGGGTACACAGAGCTCAAAGGCACCAGTTGTTCCTCAGGAGAAAGATGGACAGTTTCCTCCTATGCCTCTGAAATCCTGCCAGAGGATCAGCTTCGAATCAATTCTGGCTTAACAGTATACAACAACAACAACAACAACAGAGTACACAGATAAAAAGTACATTCTGTGACCTCAGGGACTTTAAATTGTAAACCATGGAAATAAGTAATTTTAATACAATAAGGAGACTCCTTTTATGGACGTCTAAAGTGTCGTTTGTTGTTATGTGTCTTTGAGTCACTTGCGACTCATAGTGACCCTATGCACAAGAGCCCTAAACCCTGCTCTTTCCTGTGCCAACCTCACTGTCTCTGACACACCTACTCCCATTACCCCAATCACTTAATCGATCCATCTCATTTAGGGTCTTCCTCCCTTGCACTGTCCCTCTGCCCTCCCAAACATGATATTCCCTCTCCAAGGACTGGATTCTCCTTGCAACATGCCCAAAGTGTGTCAGATGAAGCTTCAGAATCCTTGCCTCCAAGGAGCAGCCCATTTTCACCCTCTTCAGGACAAACCTGTTCTCCTAGCAGTCCATGGTATATTCAACACTCTTTTCCAGCACTGCAGCTCAAAGGCATCAATTCGCTTTCTGTCATCCCTTAGTCACTGTCAAGCTCTCCATGTATTGCATGCTGTTGCAAAGACTGTGGCCTGGATCAGGCACACCTTAGTCTCCAGCCAGATGTCGTTGCTCCTCAATACTCTGGAGAAGTCCCTGACAGCTGACTTTTTCAATGCAATTCATTTCTTGATTTCCTGGGTGCTGGTACCAAGAGTATTCACTGTGGAACGAAAGCAAACTAAAGCTGTGAACAAACTCAATCTCTTCACCATCCATAATGATGCTGCCAATTGGCCCAGTGATGAGAATCTTTGTTTTCTTGATATTGAGCCTCAATCCATATTGAAGGCTGCAGTCCTTGACCTTCTGCAGCAAGCACTTCAGGTCCTCCTCAGTTTCAGCTAGCAGGGTTGTGTCATCTGTATAACACAGGTTGTTGTTGAATCTTCTTCCAATCCTGATGCCACATTCTTCCCCCCACAGCCTAGTGTCCTAGATGGTTTGTTCTGCATACAGATTGAAAAGGTATGGAGACAGAATACATCCCTGGCAGACACCCTTCCTGATTTTGATCTATGCAGTGTCTCCTTCCTCTGTTCTGAAGACTGCCTCTTGCGTCATTATAGGTTTTGCATAAGGACAATCAAATATTCTGGGATTCCCTTCTTCTCAGAATCAGCCACAGTTTGTTGTGATCCACACAGTCAAAAGCCTTTGCATAGTCAGTGAAGCACAGATAGACATTCCTCTGGTATTCTCTGCTTTCTGCCAAGATCCATCTAACATTAGCTCTAATATCCCTAGGACCATGGCCTCTTCTAAACCCAGCCTGCACATCTGGGTGTTGCTCCAGTCGTCTTTGGATAATTTTCAACAGAATCTTGCTTGCATGTGATATTAATTATATTGTTCAATAATTTCCACACTCTGTTAGGTCACCATCTTTGGAATGGGAACAAATATCGATCTTTTCTAGTCAGTTGGCCAGCTGGCTGTCCTCCGTATTTCTTAGCACAACTTAGTGAGCACATCCAGGGCAGCATCTGTTTGTTGAAATAAATCAGTTGATATGCTGTCGACTCCTGGAGCCTTGTTTTTTGCCAGTTTCTTCAGAACAAGTTGAACTTCTTCCTTCATCACCACAGGCTCTTGCTCATACGTTATTTCATGAAATTTTTCTGTGTCAGCCAATTCCTTCTGGTACAGTGACTCTGTATACTCTTTCCATCTTCTTTTAATGCTTCTTGGATCATTTAACATTCTGTCCAAATCATCCTCCTTAAATATTGCCACTCATGGCTTGAATTTGTTTTTCAATTTCTTCAGCTTAAGAAATGCTGAGTGAGTTTAGTCCTTTTGATTTTCTGACTCCAGCTCTTTGCATATTTCATTATAATACCTTGCTTTGTCATCCTGAGCTGCCCTTTGAAATTTTTTGTTCAGCTCTTTAATGTCTTGATTTCTTCCATTAGCTTTAGCTTCTTAGCATTCTAATGCAATATTCAGAGTCTCATCTGAAATCTATCTTGGTCTTTTCTTCCTCTTCAGGCTTTGTAATGGTCCATGGAACAGTAATCATGAGATGTAAGGAGTGAGTTGAAATTTGAAAGTTGAATCAGAACTTTCCTGGTTTCCTGCTGTACAGACTAGAAACTGCAAGGCCTTTCCAACTCTAGGAATAGCATATGGTCAAAATGGGAAGATGAGAGAGCAGTAGTGACTCATAACTTTTTGGAAAACAAGAAGATGTTGGGTATTGTTGAAGAATTAAGGTGTAGGAGATAAAACTAGGTGTATCATACAGGGACTTTCATTCTACACACAATGTTTACATTTTCATTCCTTGAGAGTATGTGGCAAGCTAGTAAAAGGCCCTTTTAGCTAAGAAATGCCCTCATATTTTTGTGTATGCAAGATATTATGGGAGAATGTGAAAGGTTTGGAGCAGTGCAACTTCAGTAGGACAGAAGTCAGAAGGGACTGATTGATTGAAGTAAGAACAGGGAGATAAAGGAGAAAAAAAATCAATATCCTTTCTAATTGATTAGGAAAGCCTCCTTGGTAGAACCTTAATTCTCTCTTTCAGATAACCGAGTAGTATTCTTCCTTTTGTGAGATGGTAGCTCATACAGGAGGAAAGATGGTGATTTTGGTTTTAGGCAGTCTTGGTTTGATTATGTACACGTCTTAGGAGCCTGGTGCTGTCGTGTTTAACATATTGGCCTCCTACCAGGGGACTGACGATGTGAAATCACCAGACACTCCATGGGAGAAAGATGGTAGTCTGCTCCTGTAATGATTGACAGTCGTGGGTATGTTATACAGGGGATAGCTGTCAGTTAGAATTGACTCAGTGGCAGTAGATAGGTGGTTAGATAATACGGCTTTGAAATTCAGAAAAGAAGCCCAGTTGTCAGCGATTTCATCCTAGATCCTCAGTCAACACTCTTAATAACACTAGTCAGGAGATCAGGAGATGAATTGCATTGTGAAAGTCTGCTGTCAGGGACCTCTCCAAATTACTGAGAATCAGTGATGTAAATTTGAGGACGAAGGTGCGCCTGATTCAGGCCATGGTTATTTCAGTCACTAGTTTTGCACCTGAGAGCTGGACAGTGAATCAGGATGATAAAGAAGAACTGATGCCTTTGAGTTGTGTGTTGGAGAAGAGTATTGAGTATCCAGTGGACTGCCAGAAGGACAGATACATGTTGGAGAAAGTGCAGTCAGATGCTCCTTGGAGGCAAAGATGACAATTCATTGCATGTTGGTAGGAGGAGAAGCTGTTCTTTGGAGAGGGACATCATGCTTAGGAAGGTGGAAGGTCCACGAGAGAGAGGAAGACCCTCAACTAGATCGAGATAGATTGAGACAGTGATTGCAACAGTGAGCTCAGGTGTGTCCGAGATGATGAGGATGGCACGGGAGAGAACAGATTTCAGAATTGTTGTTCCTAGGGTCGCTTGAGTCGTACCCAACACAACAACATTTAACAACAACAGCAACAATACTAGGTTCATTGGAGTAATAAACAACACACTCCATTAGAACCTAGTTCTTTTTACTGTCACTCTCTGACCAATTTATTAACTATTCCTTCCCATCATACCATTTCACTCAGTCAGTTACACATGACTATTGAATAAGAACTTACTTTCCTGAGGGTCTTGAGGCTATAAATTGTACTAGAGGAGATCTCCTATATTTCTCCTGTGGAGTCCGTGATAGTTTTCACCATGGGAGAGGTGTAGCTGTTGGATTAGCCGCACAACTGCCTGTGGTCTACACCTAACCATTTAGCATATATTTATCGAGCATTACAGGGAAAAAACAAAACAAGTAAGCCTCATAAAGCTTACAGATTGATTATATGATTCAAAAACTGGTGTTCATAAGAACAGCTCGTTTCCACTGATTTGTAAGTGACTCATAATTGATGCTTCATAGGATTTTTGAAGCTCTGCTTCACATGAGATATTGTTCGTCTCTCTCCCGATTGGCTGGTGAATTTTCCTTTTCCTTTTTTTTTTTTTAAATTTTTTTGTCTTTCCTATACGTTGTGGTTCATGCATGTACATTTTGTTCCACACCCTCATTCACCTTATATTTCATTCATTTCTATTGTCGGGTTCGCCCCTCCCTCACAGTCTTCCCACCACCCACCACTCTTGAAAGCGTGGGTTTCACCCTCTAGAAGAGCATGGCCTGTGAGGTGGAGGAACATATCCCAGAGACAGTCACCTGTACCCGCACACTAAAATGTGGACATGCAGAAAGTAAAATGAAATTGAGGAACATATAATGGTAAAGAGTGATATGATAATGTTTATTTTAAGTAAATCTGTTGCAAGATGCATTTCTTGTCCTCATATAGATGACATTTGCTTCATTATAAAACACTGAACATATGTAGTCTCAAAAGGCACACATTGAAATATGGACTTTTTAAAAAATCACAGATTATAATTGCTTTTCCTTTGGATTTTAAAAAAATATGTGTAATAAAGCATTTATTGTTTTAATATGTACAGTAGTGGCATAAAATATTACTTTCTCCATATTTTTTTCACTCATCGCTATTATCCATTATCAAGTTTTTCTGTCACATTTTCTATCACTCAGGGGACCCTATGGAATAGCTCTTATCACTCATATGGAATAGCTCTTATCACTCAGTGGACCCTATGGAATAACTTGCCTCCTTTCTGCCTTTGTTGTTGTTAGGTGCCATCGAGTTCACTCCTACTCATAGTGACCCTATTAGAATAGAATGAAACCCTCTCTCATCCTCAGAATCTCTCCTACATATAATCCTATCCTTGGAGTCACTGTGTCAGTCCAGCTCCTTGGGTCTTTCTCTGCCCCTCTACTTGTCTAAGCAGAGAGTCCTTTTTCAAGGGCTGGCCCCTTGGGTAGCATGCTCAAAGTACGTGAGGCCCCGGCTCACCGGCTCGCTTTGCCTGCACTTCCCCTGAGACCCGCTGGTGGACTTTAGTTCACGTGTGTGCGATCTCACAATGTCTGTCCTTCCATGACTTATTCTGCAGGTTTTTGGGCTTCATTTATGTCCTGGTATGCATTAAGACTTCCTTTTGTTCTGTGACTACTACTCTATTATATGTATAAATTACTTAAAAAAATAAAATATTGACAACATGTTGATAGGCATTTAGGCTGTTTGTGAGTAGTGTTCTTCTGCCAGTTGCCTTTTATTTTTTTTTAAAAAAAAAAGTCTGTAAATAGGCACTTCCAGGACAGATTTGTCCTGGAAAGGGTTAAACCGGGTGGCTTCTTGGAGGCAAGGATTCTGTGGCTCCATCTAACATACTTTGGACATGTTGTAAGGAGAGACCGGTCCTTGGAGAGGGACATCATGCTTGGGAGGGTGGAGGGACGGCGCAGGAGGGGAAGGCCCTCTATGAGGTGGATTGATTCAGTGACTGGGATAATTGGGATGGGAGTGTCAGAGACAGTGCGATTGGCACAGGACAGAGCAGAGTTTAGGGCTGTTGTACATAGGGTCGCTACGAGTTGCAAGTGACTCGACGGCACATAACAACAACAACAACAACAAAATAGGCACTTAAACATGATCTTGCAGTGTGACTGCTCTCACTTTTCAGATGGTACGTGTGAGATGTATTGACTAACATGATACATAATAGATGGTTTACTAACAGGTGACAGATGGGACAGCATCTCTAAGATTAATTAGGATGTCTCATCAGGTCAGACCACATAGTTCTCTCATGTGTTTCAGTACCATGTGGCTCTGCTTCACAGATTTCTTTTTTCTTTTTCTTCTTTGCTGATAGTTCTTTGGTTCTTCTGCTCTGAACATGCTTCTGTGTAACTTCAGAATGTAGTATTTTCAGCAATGTGTGCTGAACTGTTCTTTTTTTAGTTTCATAATACACTAAGGTGTTCTTTGTTTAGCAACCTCAAAGTTGCCTTTTTATTTATTAGAACTTAATGTGCATGTACCTTTTTTGGGGTTTCATCTCATTTATATAGTTTGTGAAATTAATGATTTTACGTTTCTATGGTTATTGCTTTGGTACATTTAAATATGCTTAATATATTACTGTAATTTAGAAATAATCTCAGTTCCCTTGGGTGCTAATGTTTCTTTTATGATAATAAAATGATTTATTAACATTTATTTTCTGCAAGCCATTATAGAAATTATATAAATGAATAATGTCTGTATTAAATAACAGTTAAGCTACTTTCAAATATAAAATACTCTTAAATATTTCAGGTAATTATCATTGGCTTACTAAGATGAACTGTGTAAAGACTTGTGATCTATTATAGATTTTCTCTGAACCATTTTGGTCTAAAACCTAACTTTTTGACCAGATGTGTGATAACATCATTTTAAATTTATTTGTGACTGGTCTGGTATTCACCAGTTACTCCGTTAGTGGGTTAGGCTTGCTCTACATAATTTCTTACAATGGTTTTGCAATCTTTCATGTTAAATGCACTCTTTCTAGGTATATATTTTGAAAACAGAATCAGCTTTCTTAGATGCTAATGTTTATTATATTTCATTTCTCCTGTGGTTCATAGGCTGTTTCCTATTACTTTATGACTACTGTACTTTATTATTTAGAGGTTTGTTAGGAGCTCTGGTAGCTTAGAGTGGCACTGTCGACCCAAAGTCAGCCAATTGGAATCCTCTGGCTGCTTTGAATGGGGAAAGATGGACAGTCTCCTCCTGTGTGATTTACAGTTACCAGAAATCCACTGGAGCGTTAGTTCTTTGTTGGTTCTGATTCAGTGGCACATAACAACAAGAACAAGATGTGGATTTTAAGTCACAGTTCTGGAAACTTTTTCAGAAACTCTATTCCTGCCCCCCTTTATCTTTTAGGACTTTCCTGTTGAACTGGTCATTATTGGAATAGCTTCTCTTCTCCTGCAGACTCCAGCAAGTCAACAAAAGCCAATCTTAAGTCTAGGTAAGTAAAAATTCACTGATTCAGAGCAAAATGTAAATAAATATAATAGATATTGTCAGGAATCATTTGTGTTGTAGATCTTATTTTGTTATGAAATGCTAAATAGTTTGTCTCTGATCTAGAATTTCTTAGGTGATCATTGTTAAGTAGATTTTCCCCCCCCTTATCCACTCAGGTTGTACATATCACAGTTACAAAGTATTCCAGCCATCTGTTGGGAGGTTATAATCTAAATCACATAGCAGTGACATTGGTAAACATAGTAAAGGGATTAATCAGTTTGTTCATAGCTATACAGATAGATGAAAAATAGCAGTAGAATTCATTTTGAACAAAAATGAGTGCTCAACATTTCTTAAAATTCTCTTTACTTTTACTAAAAAACTAAAGATTTCATTTGTACAAGATTTTAATTTGCCAAACTCAACAAAGGATGGCACTTTTATGTCTAGTATTACTTTCGGGAGCTCTGGTGGCTGAGAGGTACATAGCTGCGCTGCCAACCCCAAGGCATGCAGTTCAAATCCAGCATCAGCTTCTCTGTGGGAGAAAGATGGGCAGCCTAGTCTCCTCCTGTGCAGTTTACTGCCTCTGAAAACCTGTTCGAGTGTCAGCTGTGAGCTGATTTCTACTTCATGGTATGTAACAACAAGTCTTGATACAAAGAAAAGTGGAAGAGTGAATAGGAGGACAAAAAATGTTCTAGTTAAGAAAAATCTGATTACTAGGACTTGCAGATTAGCATGCTAGTCACACCTATAAAATATGATCTTTATTATGTTGTCTCACTTTATTAGGTTCTGTATAATCTATTTAGTAACAGTAGCTCTGGCTAGATTATATTGTATTTATAGATTCCCTTTCTCTTTTTAAAAAAAGTATTTGAGATCAAATCTAATTGCATAGTTCATTCTTTTTGACATTTCAGCTCATTTTGATTTTGAGGATGGTTTCTCTTGTTCTTATAATATGTCTTAGAAATGGCAGTAGCATGCCGAGGAGACCCTTGGCTCTTAGCTTTTGTTGCTAACCTAGCTTTGGCCTGTTGGTCTTACGCTCATTGTTTCCTGCTTCCTTAGTCCCTTTCTGACCTGGTTTTTACATTAATTTGCGTCAAATGTCCTACTTCCCACAGGTGAATCTTACCAGTAATGCTATTTCTGATAGCCTTAGTTTGATGATTTGAATATTATTATTTTAAAAATAATAACTATTTAAGTGTTATTTACTTATTGTAAAAGGCATAATTTTTTTTCCCAAGGTATATTTTTTTTTATTAATTTAGTTTGTTTATTTTTCATTTCAATGAACATCTACAGAGATTTTGGAATTCCATTCATTCATTGTTGCACCCTTCCCCTCGCACAAACCCCTCCCCCC